CAATTAATTATTGGGGGTTACAAAAAGGTTGAATTACCAAATTACCCTTATCATTAATTTATAATTTATATTTGAACCTAAAGTAAAGAAAGAATGTGATTGGTCAAGATCGGTTTCCATAGTTTGTACCATATGGTTGGTTTCTATTTGAACCAACCTCTATATATATATATATATATATATATATAKAGAGAGAGAGAGAGAGAGAGAGAGAGAGAAAGAGAGAGACTTGGGATCATGTGAGACCAAGGGTTTTTCGTGAGACACGTAAGACTAATTTTCAACCTTTGGATTAGATATATAATCTGAATATTCATAATAACAAAATTGCCATGAGATTTCTCAATAATCACAAAATTGCCACCGTGCAACTTTAGACCATTAGATCATTAGCTTATAAAGTTGATCAATGAACATAAATTTGTCTTACGGGTCTCACGAAAAACCCTTGCTCTCACGTGAACTCAACATTTTATATATATATATATATATATATATATATATATATATCAAAAGAAGAGAAATTGGATTTTTGTTTTTCTCCTTTCATATGAAAAGGAAAAAAGAGAAGAAAAATACATGTGGTTCGCATTCTTTCTTTTCTCACAAAATTATTGAGCGTACGCTATTTACTGAAGAATTAAAGTCATCTGTGACGTGCATTGGTCCCCATTCGTGTGCTATCACAGTCCCCATTGTGTAAGCATATACCTTAAGGAAACAAAAACATTAACGAAACAACAAATACTTTAGGGAAACAACAAATACTTTAGGGAAACACCTTAAGCAAACATCTATGGTAAGCAAATAGCAAATAGCAAATAGCAAATAGGTTAAGGAAACATCAAAAATTAATAGCAGCAAATACCTTAATCGATTGATGGAGAAGAGAGAAACAACCGATGGAGAAGAGAGCAACGACCGTCAACCGATGGAGAAGGGACCAATATGTAACACCCCCAAACACCACATTTGCATATAACACATATTTCATTACATGGAAATATAGTTTACATCGCAAGGTCCCACTAGTACAAAGATTCTTATATGTATAAAATCTACATATGAAAAATTCCAAAACAAAATCCTGTACTAACACATGTAATACAACATGTATCTTCAAAAATAAGCAATCTCAAGCAGATTCTCAAAAGCATATATCAGATTAGGAAAATAATCATATTTTCCCTTTCCTCTTATTATTCCCGGACCCCGCCATTCATACACCGCATATTTTAAAGACAGAAAAAATGAGGGTTAGACCATAAAGGTCTAGTGAGTGAATCCCTTCTTTGCAAATGCAGGGTGATAAACACCAAAATATAATAAAATAATTTTGTTCAGGAATATTTGCAATACATTCAAATAAAGCAGTTCTTAATAACATGTATAATAGGATAAATCCAAGAACCTCAGTTCTTATTAATAAATACCTTTGCTTAAAGATTCAACGTTCCCAATAAATATTGTAACCAAAACTTCTTTGAATTATCAGATCATCTCTTTGTAATTATTAACAGAAAGATTTAGGGCAATACTTGCCATTTATGACAAACCATTTTCCTCTTCTCAATAACATCTAAATTATTATTTCTAATATGAATAATATCTCTAATTCATCAGGTCACAAAGAAATGATGACTCAAAGTTATTAAATCAAATTAGTAATAATAATAAGAGTTATAATAATAATATATGCATATGACAATGCCGCTCTTATTCCAAGTACACTTCTCCTTGATATGCCACCCTTATTCCTCCATCAAAACAGAGCTACTTATCAGAACAGACAAAAGTCACCACGACTGAAAGTACCCATTCCCAGTTCCATGCCAGAACAGACAAAAGTCACCACGTCTGGGGGAACTACCTCTTAAAACAAGTTTTATACCAAAACAGACTTACGTCACCACGCTTGATAGGAAGGTTTTCTAAAATATAGTTTCATACCAAAACAGACTTACGTCACCACGCTTGGTAGAAATTTTTCCCAAAACCCAGTTCCATACCAAAACAAACTTACGTCACCACGCTTGGTAGGAACATATCTTATATATTAAAAAGATATAAAATACCCCTTGATAAATCCATACTTAAACTCAATAATAGACATTTTAAATTATATAAATATCTAAAATATTCAACACTTAAAAATTATCAAGTAAAACCACCTGGATAAGTTATCCGGATATACAATCCGGACAACTCTATCCCTTCTTGTCCGACATATTAATCCGGACAAGACTTGGTCGAGTTAAGACTAAATCGCATGATTCATGTCCGGTTTAA